AGTTTTAACATACTGACAACCATCCAGATCTACATACTGACAACCATCCAGTTTTAACATACTGACAACCATCCTGATCTACCATACTAACAACCATCCTGTTTTAACATACTGACAACCATCCAGTTTTAACATACTGACAACCATCCTAGTTTACCATATTGACAACCAAGAAGTTTCAAAACGTTTGGAAAAGGTCTGTCATGCAGAAGATTAATCACTGAAAAATGTGATGCAAGTGAACAGCAGTTTGATGTTTTTCGTAGTGATGTTCAGAAGTATTGCAGTGAAGAATGCCAGTCAGAGGTTGGACACATCTTTTTGTGAGTTCCAAGGAGAAAAGGACCAGTAGGAATGATGCTGGTGGTTAAAAAGGGGATCTTCGGTAAACACAACAAGCAGTATGCAGAGTGAAACTATATATATATAATTGTCTACGAGCAAGTTCTGTGATTGTGTGAAAAAATTGAGTTTGATGTGCAGGAAGTTTCAGTTGGAAATAAGAAAAACAGTCTCGAGTCCTGTAAGCACCGAACACACAATTACTGTTTATACTTGTTAACAGAAGTTTGTACTAGAAAAGGAAGTAACAGTTGGAAGCAGAAGCCAAAAAGCAATAAGACTATGCAGTGATGCAGAGAAAAACCATGATTGGCATCTGTTAATAGAGGCAAATGGATTATTGTTTGAAGGGAAGGCAGGGAAGAAGTAGCAGGAGATGGTTGAACAGAAACTAAAGTTTGACAAGGTTTAATGATAAACTACACTGCTGCTAACCCGTCATATGTTCTTCTTCTTTATGTGAAACACCAGCCAATATTAACTACTAGTTTAATTACATTTTTTACATTAAATGTTCTCTTAATGTTAGTAGATATATTGTATATAAGGCCAGTGACATTGAAACAATGTTTAAGCTATTGGACAAAACTGTAAATCCTGTATATAATCGAAACTACGTATTCAGTTGTTGTGTTAGAACGTGATGGTAAAACCAACAAATTCTACCTGCATATTTTATTACTCCGTACAAAGGTAGCCTACTCTTAAGCTTTCATAATCACTTGTATTGTTAACTAGAAGCACTTGATTGTAAACAGTGAGATTAGTATTTATTTTTTTTACTAGCATCTACTGGGAATTTGCCATGAGTTTTAATGTGAACGACATAGTGTATCTCCACTGTCACCAGCATGGTAAGTGTTTAGTAATACTAAACTGTTAGGTGTTTAGTAATACCAAACTGTTAGGTAAGTGTTTAATAATACCAAACTGTTGGATAAGTGTTTAGTAATACCAAACTGTTGGGTAAGTGTTTAGTATCACCAAACTGTTGGGTAAGGGTTTAGTAATACCAAACTGTTGGGTAAGTGTTGAGTAATACCAAACTGTTGGGTAAGTGTTTAGTAATACCAAACTGTTGGGTAAGTGTTGAGTAATACCAAACTGTTGGGTGAGTGTTGAGTAATACCAAACTGTTGGGTGAGTGTTTAGTAATACCAAACTGTTGGGTGAGTGTTTAGTAATACCAAACTGTTGGGTGAGTGTTTAGTAACACCAAACTGTTGGGTAAGTGTTTAGTAACACCAAACTGTTAGAAATTCTTCTTGACTAGGCAGTGTAGCAAGGTACTCTGATTATCTTGTTAGGCTGGTCGGTGTGTTGGGGGACTCATTATTACATTAAACCAATCAGGGTAGCACGATGCAACAGTATACATCCTGTTAGATGAGACAGGAAATGAGTGGTTTATGTTGTGTCTAGGTGACTTTATTGTATGTGTTGTGTCTGGGTGGTTTTACTGTGTGGTTTGTGTTGTGTCTGGGTGGATTTACTGTGTGGTTTGTGTTGTGTCTGGGTGGTTTTACTGTGTGGTTTGTGTTGTGTCTGGGAGGCTTTACTGTGTGGTTTGTGTTGTGTCAGGGTGCCTTTACTGTGTGGTTTGTGTTGTGTCAGGGTGCCTTTACTGTGTGGTTTGTGTTGTGTTTGGGTGCCTTTATTGTGTGTTAAACAAACCAGCTTCTGAACAGTGGAACTATTTAATGAAGGATTGAATAGTAATGTAAGAGCAATGAAATGTAATAACCTCTAAACTAATACAAAGCCTATATGTGTAAATCCATTGATAAATTAATGTACAGAATACACACAAAGTCAAACATTGTGTACGAAGGTTGATACAATGGTTTGTTTGTATATGAGATCAACTGAAAATCCACCATAACTAGTCGTTAAGTTACCATAACAATCTGTATTAAATGATGTTATTCATTACGGATAACATTTCGATTCTGTGAGAAGAGCTTGCATACATATTCAGTCTGTATTTCTAATTCATGTAATGACACACACTTTCAACTCGGACAGCTGTAAAATTAACAAAGTTGATTTTGATTTGATGACTTTGTAATACTGTGATCTGGACATTTTTTGCAACTTATGTAAAAAGAAATACAATGTTTAGTTACAGTTTTGGATTTTGTTACTCAGCAGACACTGGAGGAAAGGTTGTTCTTGTTGGACAAGATGGAGTCCAGCAGCCTCCTATTCACTTCCCTAAAGGTGGCCACCTGCTGGCATTTCTCTCATGCCTAGAAAATGGTCTTCTTCCTCACGGACAATTAGATCCTCCTCTTTGGTCACAGAGAGGAAAAGGTGTGATCTCCTCATTTCTAAACTAATTGTTTAGTGAAAATAATCGAAGGTTTGGATGATTAAATTATCAGTTGTAAATTAAATTGATGTGTATGTTCTAGTGAAGAACTAAATTAATTTTAATATACTCCGGCATCTTTTATTATTCATTCAATGTCAGATAAAGTACAGTCAAATAAACATATGAAATAGTACATTAACAATGGTTCAAAGTTCCAAAACGTTTTAAGAGTGAGCACATTCTTCTTTTTTTATTTGATGTACTTTTTAATATTGCATCTTGTTAAATTGTAGGCTATCACATCTTATTTACCATTGGCTAAGTTACTTTTTATTGGAAGTCATATCCATTAAAAAAAGTATTCAAATTGGAGAGGAGTTTATTACATTCAGATTCAGTGAACTAAAAGTTTTGAAGCCATTTATCAAGCCAATATTACATTAAAACTGACGACAGTTGTTTAGGTTGAACATCTTCTGTAGGTTCATGTGACAAAGTTAGTAAAACCTGTCGTTTAGAGTGCTCTAACTGTAAGTTATTAAAAACTATTTATATGCAGGTAACCTTATTGAGTATAAAAAAATTCTCCAAACTGCAAAGCATTAAATTGGTAAACTGCTGTTGGTTTTTCCATCCAGACGAAATACTTTCACCAATGATAAGGCTTTCGGTTATAAGGCCGACGTAAATTAAAGATCCAGATTGCTTACTTGACATTCCCACTTACAGGTAAGGTGTTTCCCAAGCTTCGGAGGAAGGGGCGTGGCTCCACTCGTAAGCGACATCAGACCTCTGAAGGCCAGGCTTTGGAAGAAGAGGAAGAAGCTGCAGATTACGTATTTCGTATTGTGACATCTTTGAAACCAGACTCTATATGTACATATTATGTATATTTGTGTATTTTATGATACGTAATTATATAATTCCATCTTATGAAGAGCTTTTTAAAGAGCTGTTAGGCTTATGGATTAATATAACCTTGTATTTTAATCTGGTACTTTTACCTACAAGTTTCATTTTATGTCAGTACATCCCATTTAAATGACGTTAAAACAATATAATTATCATTTTTTAATGAAATATAAAACTTCATATTGTCAAATTTGAAAAACTTTTGTCAACTCTGCTATCACACCATTGAAGCTCAAGAAATGATGGATCCTAAAACGACTCGTGGCTCTTTTCCATGGCAATCTGGTGGTCGAGCTGCTCGATTAAAACACCTTTCATCATCTTCATCTTCAACATCCAGTAGTAAATCTCTGGCAGAAGATAATGTTACTTCAACAGATGTTCCAAAGTCAGCTGCTCCAATTCCAAAGAAACCGGTTCCCTTGCCCAGAACTTCAGAAGCTGAGGAGAGTGCATCAGCCGGGTACGTAATTGGATCCATTTTGTTATAACTAAGATCCGTTGGCTGATCACAGAAAAGAATAGTATGGTAAAACTTGGATTGTGGTTTTCCTTAAACTTCCTGATTTGTTTAATAGTTAATTAATTTGTAGTAAAAATCATCTTTCTTCATTATTTTTATTTGTAAATTTTAGATTTTGAAATTGTTTAATTCAAAGAATAGCAAGTTAGTAGATGTAAATCTTAAATTGAAGACGTTATCCATGTTTTATTGGTATATCCCATTCTATTAATACATTCTTAATGAAGTTCTGCTGAGACGTGTTACTTTTAATTTAGGGAATCAATTCAAGTTTTGTGTAACACCATGAGAAGACAGATCATTTCCCGGGCTTTTTATGGATGTAAGTTTGCCATTCAGTTGTTCATGTATTATTATATAAGCTAGAAGAGATAGTGATGCTATAATAGTTGTTCATGTATTGTTATATAAGCTAGAAGAGATAGTGATGCTTGTACCAATAGATGTAAATAGTTGTTCGCATCACTATCTCTTCTAGCTTATATAACAATACACCTTGTACCAATAGATGTA